CATTTATAATTGCACTTAACCAAACCCAAAGGCTGAGGTTTTGAGGACATAAGAGTTGACTTAATAGGTTAATAAACCACTGGGTGACAGAGGTTCTTTAAGAAGAGTAGCTGTCTTACAATCTGAAAGTTGTTGATTTAACTTCAGGTTGCTCCTCTGCCACATGTTTGCAGGAGTGAAGGTGAACCAATCAGAAGGAAGACGCTTAATCCCAAACTGCCTCTAATGTAGGCATCAGTCTGTAAATGAGTGAAAGTGGTGCTTTGAGTTTTTATTATGAATACAAAACTGCTTTTTTATCTGTTAAATTTGTTTTTCTTTCAATCAAATGTTATAGAGGCACATAGAATATTCATTTATTTTCTGTGTTTGAGAACAATTTCTTAAATGTAAAATAGCAACATTGATTCAAGAGAATAACCTGCTGTTTATCTAACCAGCACTTTCTGGTACTTTTTTTGTGTAAATTATACTCGAGTTATAGGGGTACCAAAACTCAGATCCTTATTCTTTAGAGGCTTTTAGGCATAAGGAAAATTTTTTGCACCAACCCTGACCTATTAATCAAATCCAGCTGCGATCATGTAAATAACTTAACATTAAACACATGTTTTGTGGATCTGATGGTTTGATCAGATTCCTTTATGAAATATCTACACCTCGTTTATGATGAGAAAATGTAGTAAATGTTTAATTTACCTGTGTTGCTTAGGAGTTAACCTGTTGAATTATCATATTAAGACAAATCCCTCTAAAAAGTCCCATTTGTAAACATGGAACTACAATATATTTGCTTTTTGCTTATTGGATCTTCATTTATTCCTCAGAGTGCCACTAAAGGCAGACATGTGAACCTTGACCCTTAGTTTGAGACTCAGCGTTAAATGACCTTTATTGTTGATATTGTTCTTCCTGGCGAATATTGGAAAATAAAATCAGTCAATGTATAAAGTCAAAACCTGTAAATGTTTCTCCTCCACCAGTGTTTTCTTTTGCTAGCCATTTAGCTTTATTTTCTGTTGATGTCGAAGACTGAATATACACAACAGAGTTGATATTTATTTTATTTTTATTTTTTTTGCAATGTCATGGAAATGCCTTCTTCTTTACCCCCCAGTGTGTTTGTTGGATTAATACCACTGGATAGGCTATTTTACTATATAGACTGCCTTTATAATAATAAAGGAATTATTATTTTCCGTATGCCAGGCATGCATAGTCTGTGTTGAAGCAAACTAACATTATTTATCCTAAAACAGGTGGTGAAAAACTGTGAAAGTCAGATTCAACACTGGTAAGCATTATAAAAGTCTTAATGTGTTATGTAAAAAAAAATGTATATTTCTAATTTTGTTTCTTCTTTTGCAGGATTTAGATTCTAAATGTGATTTTCTATTGTAGGTCTGTGTGAAAACAATTCTAGATGTTTCTCATTTAAACAGAAGTGGGAATAAACTAAATGTGTCCTTGGACTAATTGTGTTGCCCTTGAATGTAATTCAAAAATGGTAAAAATTTGGCCTGCCCGCTTATGCAGGAAGTAATACTTTTTTTTTTGGTGATATTTTTGATATTCAGCAAATGGAACCAAAAATGAACAATCATCACTGAGTCGGAATAGTTTCCTTTACTGCAAGAAATGAAAACAAGAATGGAGTCAAATATGGACAAAACAATGAAGAAACATGGTGTGACAGTGCTGTTCTGTACTAAAAAAATTATATATAAAAAAAAGAAACGTTTTTGCTATTGCTTTAAACAAATATAAATCATTTTATTTTCTTCCTCTATATGGCGCGTCTGTCAGGGTCACAGCGGGCTGGAGGCTTTCTCCAGCAGTCTGTGGGCTGCAGCTGCAGCAAATGCTCGATCAGCCCAGTGTTTGTCTCCAAATACTGAATATCCAATGACATTGGCTTTATATTGGAAGTTGGGACACTCGTGTTTTAAACTAGGGTTAATCCACTGAAGAGGGAAATAGTGTCTTTATTATTTAGCATTTACGTTTATTTCAAGTCAACAAAATGCATGCATTTGTTTTAATGAGGTAAATGTGCAAAATGCTAATGTTTTGGATCTAAATTAATTTACAGATAACTTTTCAGCAAAATTTTGACTGCATGCTTAAACTAAAATATAAAATTCTTATTTATTTCATATCATCAAGAAATTAAAACAGAAGCACATTTTTTGTTTTGCTTAAAAGTTTTGTGTTCCCCAAAGTTTGACGAGCCTCCAGGCTCTTATTAAAGTTTTCTTTAGTTGTGTCCAGGGTTATTTTTGCTGTTGTAGAGATGATCTTTAAAGCATTCATACAAACTCTAGATCAGACTGTGATCTAGTAGCTCCTAGAAACAGGAAGGATTTCACACTGTTGAGATATGTTTTCTATAGGTCTGACAGACCATCCAACAATTCAGACCATTTCACCTTTAACCAGATTCACAGATCCTTGAACTAAATCAGCTCTGTGCTAATGTGTTGCTCTGTATAAGCTTTAGAAAGTTGCAGGTCTCTTACAGTCTCTACATTTTCTTTGACTCTAGTGTATTCCCTTTAGTACAGCAGGTGGTATGGGTTACATATTGAGGACTTTGAGTTGTTGCTTCAGGCAGCAGAAATGCAGGACAACTTTTTTTGTGCCACGTTGTTCCATTTAGTGTCGGCTGGTTTCACTCTAAGTTTTTCTAAATAAATCTGCCAGTTTAGCATAGCGCAAATATAACATATATTTCTGAATAAAACTCTTGGAAAGTGTTCACACAGTGACATCCTTAATCCTTTGCTGTTCACTGTTTTTACCCCTTTGGTGATATAAATTCTGAAAAAGCTTTCATTGAATTTGACTTTGCACGATCTAACATACATGTAGGGGCCTAATTTGACAGAATGGACGCAGTGTGGTTATTTATGGTTGGGTTTAACTTTAGCAGCAGCAAAGCACATCTTAGAGAGGATGAGACTTTGTCTTTTACCGGTAGTTTTCTGTGGTGGTTTGTCTTTTATGCTGTAGTGGTTGTGATGTTATATAAGCATAAAGACTATAACCATGGCAGCCAAAGGGAAAGCTGTAAACTTTATTGGTGCTTCACAATAAAAGTACCTGAAGACAATGTTGTTGTTTTTAAAGGATTATTCATATAGCCTGTATTAGATGTCTTAAAGTTCTTTAATATTATACTTTTTGGGTTTGGTTTTCAAATGTTTTGTAGGATTTTTTGGTTGTCTTAATTTTAGTGATGCATACTTTTCAACCTCCAAACCAGTAAGATCTTTTTTAATTTTGTTATCCCCTTTTCACATTATTTTTTTTTTTTTAAGCCATTTAGGCCAAAATCATACATTTAGAAGTGCATGCATGGATGAGACAGGCTTGGTTATTTTTTCCCCTGGAAAAAACAAAAAAAACCAAAAAAAAAAACCTCAAAAGTATCATTTTAACTAATCTTCCTGTCTAAAACACCATCTTGCACATTTGCCTCTACAAAAATGCATACAATGTCCTAAATGTATTGGGTTTATTTACTTTTCAACCCTTTATCTAGTTGTATTCCCACCAATAGGAAAGGGTTATGCATCAGTGTTCCTTTTTTAAAATCCTTTCTGTATTTACCAAAATTCAGTGGAGGCTCCAGAATAATCGGCTTTCAAGTAAATGTCACGGAATAATTGTTGCATCATTCATTATTAAAGCAATATTAAACAAATCTGGTTAATATTTGGACACGATTTTAAATGAAGTGCAAAAATATCTATCTGAATTCAATTCTGATGCTGTCTGCAAAATTTGAACTATGTTTGAATTATATTCATGAGGCACAATCAGTCATTCCTTATTGACAACCAGAAAGGAATATCCTAAGTTTAGGGATCAATGGATATTTTCTCTGACTGTAACATGTTGTGCTTTAATTAAATTGACCTGCTGACGATCAGTCAGAGCTGATAAATGGAAAAATGGCCATTTTGCTCTCCGTTTAATTCAGTTTGGCTTATTTAAACAGGGCCAAATTACAACATGTTGCTCGAAGCAGTTTACAGAGTCGATTTCACAGCCCGAACAGACACATCGGTGAAGTTCTAGATGAGAATGTGACGACAATTCAGTTTATTGGTATAGAGCCAATTCAAAACACACATTATCTCAAGACTTTACAGTGACAATTCAGTCGGATCATACAGTCAGATTTGTTAAAAGTTTTGTACAGTTCCTATACTGGGCATACATGCAGCCACAATGGAGTGGGAAAAAAAGCTCCAGGAAAAAAACAGGCTGTGTGAGGACAGATGTCTGCTGCAGCCAACTGGGGGTTTGAGGATACAGGAAGACAAGAAAGGAACATAGAAGAACTGATTTAGTAAAACTTAATGAGGGATAAGGTTATGGTAGACGTGCTCCAAAGGGTGGTGTAAGAAAAACAAAAAAACAAATGACGTCTGTGGTTTTTTTTTTCTGTATGTATGTATTTTTATCACAACAGTCTGCAGAGTTTGTCTAAGGTTTGCCTTTATTTAAAGTGAGCTCCCAAGCACCTGAGCTCTGCTTCCTCAGCAGTTTGCCTCAGGAACATTTAGACTTTGCAGCAGAAAGTCCATTCATGTACAGCATGGTTCAAACTTTAGAGGCTGCAGTTTGCCCCAGAATTAGCCTGGTCTGTCTTTATGTTTCAGTTTCTAGTTCAACAATTTGGTTCAGTCTGCTTTTAAATTAGGATGGAAGGTGCCTGGAATAAATCTCCCAAAGAAAAGAAAACACTGACATCTTGTGGAGATGAATAGATCTGTTTTTTTTTTCTCTATGAAAAAGATTTTTGAATTGTCATTATTTTTATTACTTAAACACTCAAAAAATATGTATGTGTGTGTGTGTGTTGATGAAATGATTGGTCATTTTTCGCTTTACAGGAAAAAGGTGTTGGATGACTATGAAGCCCTCCGTGATCGCCTCAGAACTCTCCCAGATCAGTTGTGTTATGAAATCATGGTGAGTGCAAAAAAAACAAACCTTTTGCTTAAACTGACTCAAAGTTCCTCCATTATTTAAACTTTCCTCGCTCCCTTTTGCCCTACTTTCTCACTGACTGTCTTGCACCTGCCTAAATGGCCTATTTCTCTTTTGTTGTTCTCCACCATCCTCTGCATCCTGAACAGGTACCATTTGGCTCCCTGGCCTTCATGCCTGGGAAGCTTGTGCACACCAACGAGGTCACGGTGCTGCTGGGCGACAACTGGTTCGCCAAGTGCTCTGCAAAGCAAGCCCAGAAAATTGTCGAGCACAGGATGAAGCGTAAGAGTCGTTTCCTGTCGTCTCATCTTTGTTTTTTGTTTTTTTTTCTTTTAACTAGTCATTCACTGCTGCTTTTCATCCAGCAGAGGGCGACTACACATCACATGTAAAGAACTTGTCTGGTTTCATTTAAACAGCTTTGAATTCCAACAGGAGTTTGTCACAGAACTGTTCCTCTTAACCTTGCATTGTGTTGCTGTTAAGTAAATGAGATCTGCAGAAGCAGATTTATTTTCAAAGGGTTGAAAGTAACAAAGCACATTGCGAAGGCAGCGCTTTTACATTCCTCATCGACCGAAGCGATTGTAAACATTACACATTTGTTAAAATCAGAGCGTGTCTTTCTGTCTTATAGCAAAGATCCCCTCTTTGTTTCTCTGTGCTAAATCAGAAAAACCTCATATTAAGTCAGACAAACCAAGCAAAGATCTCTGATGTGAGCATTATTAGAATGTTTAGTGAAGCAGAAATGTGCTGCCACATCCCCCCCCCTCCTCCTGACCCTCCCCACCCTGCTATTACAGAGCTAAGTGCTGTAATACAAACAGAGCTAGCTGAAATGTGTCAGACAGCGGCCGAGTTGTCAGGCCTTCTGTATTTGACCTTTCCTCACTTCCAGTTGATGCGCTGACTGGAGGGGCTCCCGATTGCCATGGAAACAAGGCCCTCTGCTGCTATTAGTGAAAGGGCTTAATTGTTGTGAAGATTTAATGATCCGGAGTAGTATTCAGGGCAGAAGATATTATGAACTGTTTGTACCATCATTTTTCCCCCCCACCCCCTCCTCTCTTCCATGACTTGTTTCGGGTTTTAACTCTTAAGCCGCTGCTTGTCATTCAGCCGATCTTTTTATTTACACACCGTTGTTTGTTTGCTGCCAGTTTTGGCACATTTCCTTTGCTCTCGTTCACCGTGATGCCTCTGTTTTTTTTTCTGCAGATGTGGGGAATCAGTTAGACGATGTGACCAAGACTATGAAAAACTTCGAAGCAAGAGTGGGCTTCGCAAAAGAGCTGGAAACCATGTCAGCTGTATGTTGCAAGACTGCACACCTTAGATATGACAGGAAGAAGTCACTATTGAGGACAAAATGTATTGACTTTGACATTGTTGTGATTTAGAATAAAGGGGACTATGTCGACATCAGAGAGGAGGTTGGAAACAATGACTCAGCCATCACTAAAGGTAGCTTCATCAGCTTTTCTTCTGACCTCATTTCACTTGATCATGGCTTTTGAGAAGAGAAATCGTTCTTTACCACAATACATGATTTTTTTCTTTACAGGAAAGCAAAGAATAGCTCACAAGCCTAACTCGAAACCCAAGATGGATGTGGTGTTTGATCTGAAAGAGCAGGATGAGGAGGATGAAGGCAAGAGTGGAGACACAGGGAGCAGAAAAGGCATCATAAGCGAGGAGGAACTGTGGGCTAGATTAGATGAACTAGAGAGACTGGAGGAGCTGCAGGATGAGCAGGACAGGTACAGGCTCTCCCTGGGCAGCAAATGCAGTATGATTAAAAAGGGAACATTTTGGTTGTTTTAATAATGAACATTAAAATGTTCCCTCTTCATGTCTCTAAATGATATGATCTCTACATGACAACACATTTCCATCTAAGAAAAATCCAATCTTGTGGATGATGATATGCAACAACTCAACAGTTCAATGGGAACCAAGATTTAGTAGAATTATTCCAATAATGTAAAGCAAATGCGTTTTTTCTGTATTAAAAAAAATAAAGTTGCACTGATTTGAATGAGAATCAAGTAACAGTCTAAAAACTTTGATAACGCTATCCTTTCTATCTATATATCTATTTATTTTGAAAGGACTCAAAGCTCAACTATAGGGCCAGAGCAACTTCCTAGGGCCCAAAGGTGAAGGAGCTCCCCTGAAGACTGAACACCGCTTTAAGGAGTGGTGGCCTAGTGGTTGGGTCCACTTGGAATCCAGAGATTCTGAGTTCAAGCCCCACTCCAACTCCCACTCTGGGTCCCTAAGCAAAGAACCTTAACCCCACACTGCTCCCCGGACGCCGCACAATGGTAGCCCACTGCTCCCCAAGGGGAAGGGTTACATGCAGAGAGTTCATTTCGTTGCTCTGTACTTGTGACAGTGTAATGACAATAAAAGCTGGATAACTACAATAGTGACATTATTACTACAGGCTCACAATGTAATCCCTTGTGAGGTTACCTATGTCAGCCAAAATGGCACAATACTGCTGCCCCCTAAAGGCCAGATCACACCGGTTGCGTACCACTTTTTAATATCCCATCCAATTTTTTTAACCAAGTCACAGCATCCGTGTATGGAGAGGCTGCATATTTTAATTTTTAAATTAAAACAATTTCCCACATTTGACTGGGAAAAATTAGAAAAAGTAAGTGGGGAAAAACGTAACAAAAAACTAATGGCGCAGCTTCAAAGCAAAACCCCACTTCATAATCAGACTGCATCTCCAACCAGAAAAAAAGGATTTTAATATTAGAAATATGGAAAATAAGTTTAACGGTTTAAGGTTTATAAGGGTACTGGCTGAGACGGTGAGAGGTGATCCTCAGAGAGGAATCTGTGAAGATTGAAATCTTTTTTTTTTTTTATAGCTGGTATGGTGATAAGCTGCACTTTCGGCTCAAAGAGGATCCCTATTTTACTATATCGGTTTATGTGCTCCTGACATTAGTAAAGTTTGTCACATTTTTTTTTTTTTTTTCGGAGTGAGTGATACGCTGCACTTTCTGTTGTTCGAGTTTTTTTTTTTTTTTTTTGGTGAGGCTTAGATAGGATCAGTATTGGACTTGATCCATTTTCTGCCCTCCTGAACTCTTATCATGGGTAAAGTATTTCAAATATTTCATTGATTGTTTGTACCTGAGCCTGCCCCGCCTGCTTTGTATTTACCATGCCTCTCCAAACCTCACTGTTTGCAATAACAGATTTTATTTTGTATTTCCCCCCGTAAGCGGATGCGTTTTACTTTGTAACTGCGTCTCTCTTCCTGTCATACCCATTAAATTGCCGCTGAATTGCTGTAAACCATAAAATAGACCTTAGGGTCTAACTCAGTCGAAGCTATGCAAGCCCTCTTGCGTAAAATCATGCGGGATGTGATCATCCGCTAAACGCCACAACCTCGTTCGACATGATTTTCTGTCTGATCGGATGCAAAATCCGATTCTGTGTGTTCAAGGCTTAACAGCACAGTCTGTTTAGGAGGAAAAAAGCGACAGCAGCATTGCCTGTGCAGTAAACTAACAAAAAAAAAAAAGCTAATCTCTTATGGGGTTTTAAAGAAGAAGATGCAAAAATTAAGATAGTGTAGATAACTATTCTTAAATGTCTGCCTTTGCAGACAAGTCTGAGTGTTATGTTAACTTGTCTGCTTTTTTAAAGCAACAAGCCAACACTGACACCTGATGTTAGAAAGCATTGGTTATACACCAGCTCATTCATCCTGTTTATAGATCTACAGCACTTCTGTAACCAGAACAGAAGTCCTGAACTTCTGTAAATAGTCCTTTGTTCATGTGGGGGGAGGGGGAACCATGCTTTATTTATGAATTCACACTGTAAGCCTAAAAGATTATGTATGAAATCAGAGGTTTGTATGTTATGAACTAGTAAACTACATTTTAATGTTGGCTTCCAAAATTGACCATTCAAAAAATATAGATAAAAAAAATGTGATCATTTATTGAGCAATATATCTTAGACCTGATTTTATCTGAGAACTGACTAATATTTGTATAAAATATAACTGCATCTGTTCAACTATACAAATCTCTGCAAAGCAGTTGGAAATAAATCAAGGTTCTTCACAGATTTTAATTATTATTCA